AATATCATCAAAATTATGAGGACAAAAATGTCCTCAAAATTATGAGGACAACAATATCATCCAAATTATGAGGACAAAAATATCATCAAAATTATGAGGACAAAATATCATGAGAACAAAAATGTTCTCAAATTTACAAGGACAACAATGTATGTATGTTCTCAAAATTTACAAGGACAACAATGTTCTCAAAATTATAAGAATAGCAATATTATCAAAATTACAAGGACAAAAATGTCCTCAAACTTATAAGAACAGTAGAGGACAGCAATATCATTAAAATTACGAGAACAATAATATTATCAAAATTATGAGGACAAATATGTCAGGACATCAAATTTATAAGGACAACAATGCATGTTCTCAAAATCCACAAAGACAACAATGTCCTGAGGACAGCAAAATCTTCAAAATTATAAGGACAAGAATGTCCTCAAATTACAAGAACAAAAATGTCCTCAAATTTACAAGGGCAATGGTATTCTCAAAATTTACAAGGACAACAGTGTCCTCAATATTTACAAGGACAACGATGTCCTCAATATTATGAGGTCAAACATGTCCTCAACTTACAAGGACAACAATGTCCTCAAGATTATGAGGACAAACATGTCCTCAAAATTTACAAGGACAGCAATGTCCTCAAGATTACGAGGACAAAAATGTCCTCAAAATTTACAAGGACAGCAATGTCCTCAAGATTATGAGGACAAAAATCTCTTCAAAATTTACAAGGACAACAATGCCCTCAAAATTATGAGGACAACAATGCCCTCAAAATTATGAGGACAAAAATGTCCTCAAATTTATTAAGACAATAATGTCCTTAAGTTACGAGGATAAAATGTCTACACTTATAAGGTCACATGATCACTGCTTAGTATTGGCCAATAAAAACCGTGGTTTCCATGGAGGATATAACCTATGCATTTGAGACACGATGGATAAGGTTATATCCTTTGCCGATCAGGCGAATGGGGTGGAAATTCCGATTGACGTAACAAATCCGATGAAATGGCCGGAATGTAATTATGCCGCAGCATCACGTTGGGTTACATTTTACGATTTTCCTTGGTATTGGAAATATAAGATCAAATTAAGAAGTGTAGGTCACGTGGAGAAAATGAGCATCAAACGAAGTTATAAATACAAGACGGTCAAGGCTAAACTTTGATTCACAATAATCTATGAAGAAATTTATAAGCGAGGAGGGGCCAAGATAACAATTAATAAGAACGATCATCAATATTTCTTCAGAATGTTTGATTTTAAGTTAACACCACGGGAGATAAATAAAAAATTTTGTTGGCAAGCGTGCAAGCAAATTTCTATAAGAAATAAGACAACGGATGGTAAATTGTGAAAGAATATAATATAAAATACGTAGACTTTTTCGGTAAAGTTATTAGGATTAACAAAATGAATATATCTTAATATACTTTAACAACGAAAATGATATGACGAACGCGATATATAAATGATAAATCAGGGACGGAAGATGAGTTAGGAAAAGGATTACAATTAAAAAGTCAAGATGAACTTATAGGAAAGGACGGTACTTTCAGGTTTCGGAGGATCCACAAGACGAAGCCAAACAACGGGATGTCGGACAAGTTCAAAGACGAACAAATTCACGATACAAGGAATAGTCTACGGAATCAGAAGGAACTTGGAAATGACAAGATTGCAACTTTTAACAATTTGAACGAGGTTTTTAGTGGTAGAATTGATAGAATTAATGAAATTAACGACAATCACAGGGTGTCAACGGGTAAGGTATCAAAATAAAAGAAAGATGGAGGGATTGTAAATGAAAACAATAATCGTGTAGCGTTAGATCAGGTGACTAGCGGATTGTGAGGATGATAACGAATAAAGATTTTAACACTGTAAATTTTAGTACTATATTAGACGAGTTTCAAATTAGCTTTAGTATAGATTCAAATTTTGTATTAGATAGATACTTTATTAACACAATGTATTGATTACTTTTGTAATTTTCTTCAAAACTAAATAAAGAAAAAAAAAAGTTTCAAATTTTACGCCAAATACTTGATTTGGCTAGTTTTTTGACTATTCTGCAATTTTGAATTACTAAATAAAATGATATAAAATAGAGCAATTTTATATATACAGTAAGTAAAGATAAACGTCAGTTGTATTATTTATTAATCAGTTATGTAATAATTCTAATAATTCTAAAATTGGAAATAAAATCATAGATATAATATTTGTAAAAATACTTTTACAAAACAATTGTTATTAAATTGAAACGAATTGATTTAGTTTTCTTAACTCCAGTCTGTAAAGTCTAGTTTATTGATTTGAACCAGACGAAACATATTGCGAAAAAAAAAATTCTGACGAAATTTATAAAAAATTTCATTGAAAAATTTTATATTTGTTAATAAAAATTATCACTATATCTAAGTTAAATTCATACTCACATACTGACAACTGAAACAATTGTATAAAAGTTCCATTTTTAAACTACATTATATTATCAGTTATACTTTTTTTCAAAATACAACCCAAATATTTTAATCAAATAATAACTGGAAGTTCAATCTCTTCTCTATGTATTCGATCTCAAGCCAATGATAATTAGCAGGATTAATATGAACCAGAAAAGTTTAAAATAGATGAATTTAATTTAAAAAAACTTTTAATTTACTTATTTAAATACAGTTGAATTTTTTAAAGTATTCGCTTTGAATAAGTTTATATTTATCATTATAAACAATTATGGAAGTTTTGAATTTTTTAATAAATGGAATGATCAGGATTGGAATAATTGGATTGAAGCAACTATTTCTAAAAAAATAAAACTTAATATTATAAGTTTGAAAATTTTTGTAAGCTTTGGAAAAGTTTATCATGCGAATTCTCACAAAAATCATGCATTAAAATATTTTTTTTTTGATTTCAACGATGTCACAGTTGAATCAATTGTCCGTGAAGTAATTAATGCATCAAACATGTTTCATTTATATAATAACTATGAATTTTTTTAACGCTTAAAGTATGTTAAGTTCTAATTTTATTCTACAATTTACAGAATATTTTCTGGACAATTTCAAGAACGTCGAGTATATAAGCTGTTTTTTCTCTTAGATCGCAATTTGGTTTATCCTTAGGACAGAAAAATTACCAAACTTGCCATTTCACCGAAAATTTATATCTTTACTGCGCCTTAATTCCAAATTATTTGATCGTGAATTCGTGATAATCGCTCTCTTGATTTTTTTAGGGTAAACTTCTTATAACATACTTTTGTAATTATGACTAATAAAGAAAAAATTTACAGTTTCTAAAAAATTGTAGGCTAATTTACTTTCAAAATGCAATAATAAAATTAATAAACCAATAGGCTCAGAACATCAAAATTGATGGTTTATTATCATTTAAGGATCATTTAGAGGATTCGGTAAAAAAAAATTTTTTTATGAAGCTGTAAGCTTGCTAGAGGTCTGCATTAACCCCTATTTTACAACTCGGCCTGGCCTGCACTTGGAAATTAACCTAAAATGCCCGGCCCGAACCGTACCAAAACTATTATTTTGTAATACAAAAAAAAATCGGTCAACTTAATTTTGGCCAACTTAATATTGACCAGTTTAATTTGGGTCAGAATTACGAAAATCCGGTTTAACGGAAAATTATATGCGTGAATTTTGAAAGAAAACTTGCCGGCCTTATCCCGAATCCGGGTCCAGGCCGGGTTTCCGGGTTTCCGGGTTCCGGGTCCCGTTTGCAGACCTTTGCTCCGATCTAATTAAATTGTTTTGTGCAACAATAATAATGGTTGAATAATAAAATACAAAAACTTTAAACCTACAAAGTGTATGTAATGTGCTGTATATCAAGTGAAATTTTGAAGGTTAAATTCATTTATTAAATTCTTAGATTTAATAGTGTTTATATATTGTGTTTCTAAAAAAAATACAATAATTCTAAAATGTTGACATTATTAAGATGTCATTCATATCTTATGGTTCATATTTACTACATTTATAAAAGAATCAATTCTAAAATCTTTGATCACTCCATTATTTTTATATTTATTGATCAATTTTACGTAATCATCTCCTTCATAAATAGATTCGGATGTAAATATGGAAAGTGTACAGCCTTTCCATGTTTCTAAGAATTTCTCTAAAGTTTCCAAAGGAAAATCAAAATCACCACAAAATCTAAATTCCTTTATATTGATCGGCGCAGAGCTAATTAATATTTCTAATAAATTTTCTCCATTTTCTAATAAGTTTTCTCTATTTTCTAATAAGTTTTCTCCATTTTCTAAAAAGTTTTCTTCAGTTAAGTCTTCATAGCTTGTATCAACCATAATTAATAATAATGATTTCAAATTATGACAAATTTTTAGCAATATTTTAAGTTCAGTCAGATGCTCATTCAATGGTGGAAATATAAGTGATAAACATTCAATTGAAGGACAAAATTTATGAATACTACGTATAAAAGTAAGAGAATCTTCATTGAAGTTAACTCCAAACTCTTCAATTTCATAAGGTTCTAACAAGATTTTCTTTAGATGTCCTCCACTATTTTCAATTATAATAGAAGCTGCTCCTAAATTATAATGATCTATCATAAATATCTCAAGATCACGATATACACACTTTTTTAATTGTTCTTTACTAAAGGAATCAAAATATGTTATCAATGATTTTAGTTTATGAAATTTTGGGAATACCTTTGGTGATGAGAGACAAATATATTGAAAGACAATATTTAAATGAATGATATTATTTGCACTTTTTTCTAATGAAAAAAGAATCTTTTTGTAATGGTCCAATCCAGGAATATATGAATGATACCCAACATCTCTCCATTCAAAATACTTTAAATTTTTCTGAACTCCAATTAGTTCAACAATCCCATGATAATCGTTTACTACGTTTACATTAGCAATTATGAGTTTCTGTATATATTGACATAGCTGTGCTAATCCATAAAAATATGAAGAATCTATTGATGTGTCACATTTTAATTCGCAAAGTGATTCAAAACGAAGCATAGCATCTGGATAATGAAATATTTGATGTCTAATTGATTTCATATCCAAATATTTTAGCTCTGGAAATTTCTTCATAAAGAGATAATAAAATTCGTGTTCCAAAAGATATTGCTCATGAGCTAAAGATATTCCAATAGAAGTTATAGATTTCGTAGTATCTGTATTAATACTTCTACAGAATGATAAATAATCAAACAAAAGTGTTTGGTATGAAAATGATGGCAGTCGGATTCCGTATCTCATTAGAGATTCTTTAACATCATAAGATAAATAAGAAGCAATGATTGTAAATAAATAATTTTTATTTTTATAATTAATATCGTTATAACTCCAAGGATTTTTCCATAAAATTGGAATCGCATTTTCACACCAAAGTCTGTTGACCATTAGACATGAAAAGAGGGATTTTGAATCATCTTGTAGTTCTTCAAATATTAAGAAAAGAATATCTTTATTGAGTTTGGACATTCTTCATCAAAATAATATTTTATAATTTGTTTGTATATTTAATTATAATTTTTCGTAATATTGAAATGTAAAAAAAAAAGTTTTTTTAACACAATGAGTAAATTTTACGCCAAATACTTGATTTATCCTAGTGTTTGTATCACCTGCATCATGTGTTGACAGTCATGACACTGTAATTTTCACAAGGAAGGGATTTATTCTATTAATAAGACGCAGGAATATATATGTAGGAGCAGGTATACAGATGAATCATCATCAGATTGGAATTAGTAAGGTTTTGATTTAAAATTTTTTCGTCTATAGATAGTTAGGCCATCAGGTTATGTATTTTTTATCAAAATTTTGCTTAAACCGCTCCAATTTAATTATTTGTTTAACATACCTCTATTTTTAGGATTCTATTAAATATATACTAATAAATATGTTTAATACCCCCCTCTAAATTTAAATTTTGATTTTCCAGAATTTTCCGAATTTGTTTTTTATTGTAGACTCAAACTCTGGACGTTAAACAATTGGAGCGGCCTTAGTTGACCTAAATTTTGCTAATCATATATACATTTATATCTAATGTACTTTTTTGGCCGATTGCATTGTAATATTTAGCGTTAATTGAAGAAAATTTTCTTAGCTTTGAAAAGGAAATTTTATTTGTATATTTTTGCAGGTTTTTCAATATCAGGTGTCAATTATGCATATAATAAAAATTTTTTTTGCCATCAGACCCCTATATTTCAGACCAAAATCTATTGACCATTAAACATGAAAAAAGGGATTTTGTATTGTTCCGTAATTCTTTAAAGAATATCTTTATTGAGTTGGACATTATTTAATAAAAAGTAATGAAACTGTTTTAAAATTAATCTTTATAATGTAATGGGTATTTTTATATTGTATTTAATTTTTTTTTTAAAAAAAGAAAGAAACTAATAAGCAATAGAAATGTACTGCAAATATATCAAGTAAAATTTTGAAGGCTAAAATCATTTATTAAATTCTTAGATTTAATACAGTGTTTATATATTGTGTTTCTAAAAAAAAATACTTTAATTCTAAAATGTTGACACTATTATTCATATCATATGCTCCATATTTACTACATTTATATAAGAACCACATTTAAAATCTTTGATCACTCCATTATTTTTATATCTATTAATCAATTTTACGTAATCATCTCCTTTATAAGTAGATTCGGATGTAAGTATCATGGAAAGTGCACAACCTTTCCGTGTTTCTAAGAACTTCTCTAAAGCTTCCAAAGGAAATACAAAATCACCACAAAATCTAAATTCCTTTATATTGATCGGTGTAGAACTAATTAATATTTCTAATAAATATTCTCCATTTTCTAACATCCCCTCATGAGT